GGTCTTCCTCTTTTTCACTGACCCTCCACTTTAACAAGCATGATGTCCTTCTTCAGGGACTGATCACTCTTGATAACATATCTGAAGTATAAGAAACAAAGTCTGGCCATCCTGGCTTCCAAGGAGAATTCTGACTGTACTTCTTCCAATACAGATTTGTTTGTTATTCTGGTAGTCCATGGTACTTGCAATATTCTTCTCTAACACCACAATGCAAATGCATCAATTCTTCTACAGTCTTCTTTTATGCATTGTCCAACTTTTAAATGCATAAATATCATGGCTTGGGTCAGGCACATCTTCGTATCTAAACTGACATCTTTCCTCTTGAACACTTTAAACAGTATCTGATGATTTGGAAATGCAGACCAAGAAACGGAGTCTCTTGCAAAGTGAGATTTTACGGGAAAGTCATTTCCAGACTTTCTGTGCCTCTTGACTTTGGGCTCAACTCTTAAGACATTTCTGCATTTTGCTACTGCCATCTCCAATATTCCCTCTCCTCTTTAGATCTTCACAAAACTCAGTTGGTGTTTTTTTCATCTCGAAAAACCTTTCCACTTGCCTTTGCAATACCATTCTACTTACAAGATAGATTTCTTTGTATTTCCTCCATTCCCTGCAAAACTTCCAAATTAGTGTCTAAGAAAATAGCTTCTATTTTATCTTCTTTCACTTTCAGCTTCACTCCTGACAATTTGAGTACCAGTACCACACTTTAGCAAGCTCTCAAGTTCCTACTTAGAGACTTTCTTTTTACAAAGCCTAGTGGTCCTTCTTCTGCAGTCTTGCCACCATGTTCCTTTAAAGATATTGACCACATTTCCTTCTTGACGTGACCTAGACCTTTAGCATTGGAAAGGATCTTATACAACCCCTTCATTTTCCATCTTGGGGAATCCGAGGTCTATAGATGTTGAATGACTTGCCCAGCTAAGTGCCCTCTTGTCTCCTGCTTTTTCCCTCCTCAGCCCATCCCCCATTGTATCAGTTGGAGTGATGTTTCTAAAATAGTGTCAGAAACCATCACTCACTCCTCTGTTTAGTTTCTTATTCATGTTTATTACAAGACCCTTTGTGGTCTAACTCACTGTTTCTGGTGTCATTTTCTCCTGTGCTTTTACTGACTAGTTACAGTGCTCCATCAATAGCAAGACCTGCTTAGTCCCCATTTTCCATTATTGGAATATGTAATAGGAAAATTCTTGTATCTGATATATGTTGTTGTTACTAAGTGCCTAGAGTCGATTCAGACCCATAGCGACCCTGTATAAGGTTTCCGAGGAGTTGCTGGTTAGCTTGCACCACCGACCTTGCAGTTCCAACAGCTTTGCAGTCTGGCACATTGACCCACATCTGATAATCTATTCAGTGATATATATTGGATATCTTATATATAGATATATGTATTTATACTATATATATATATATATATCCAATGTAGGAACTTTGTTTAGTTTAGAGCTGTATTTCTAACACCAAGAAGAGTGAATGGACTTTTGTGAATGTTCAAATGAATGAATGAATCACAGCTGAATTCTTGTTTATTGCACGAATCCCCCTCCCATTGTTTGTGTGTGTTTTTTTTAACTTCACAATCCTATTGTAGTACTTTCCTCTCTCTAAGATTTTTTCCTCTCCTATACTCAAACTTGAAAACCCTATACAGGGTTGCTATGGGTTGGAACTGACTCGACAGCACTTCACAACAACAACATACTCAAACTGATTTCCCCATTAACCAACCAAAAAGGTAAATGTAATTCCTGCCTAGAAGACTTTATTTCCGTTTTCTCTTTGCCCCACACTCCCCCACCCCACATATGCTGTTCTGACTGTTCATGTGTATCAGTGAAAGCACAAGTGAGGTTCCATTTCCATGAAAGCAGATCTCATGGATACATTCTTTATTGATCACTACTTCTTAAAGTTACATAATAGGACCTTGTGTTTTAAATAATCCCAATTTGTTGCTGTTAAGTGCTGTCAAGTGAGTTCTGACTCACAGCATCCCTGTATAGGGTTTCCAAGGCAGAAAGGCTCTCTGGTATCGTAGTGGTTACGAATGAGGCTGCGAACCACAAGGTCAGCAGTTCAAAACTACCAGAAGTTCCAAGGGAGAAAGATGAGGCTTTTTGCTCCTATAAAGTTTTACAGCCTCGGAAACCCTGTACAGGGTCGCTATGGGTAGGAATTGACTCAACAGTATTTAACAACAAGACTTTGCAGGAGTAGAAAGCCTCATCTGTCTACCAGTAGTAGATTAGAACTATGTTTAGCAGCCCAACACAAAACCATTATGCTACTTGGGCTCCCAATACATATATGTTATATATGTTGTTATTATATATGTTGTCATTGTTGTGTTAAGTGCCATCGAGTCAGTTCCAACCCATAGCAACCCTGTACAGGTTTTCTGAGGAGCAACTGTATACTTAAACATATATATATATTCTTACATCTAGAATTGTTTCACATAATAATATTTAGGCACTGTGACAATATGCTTAATAACAAGGGTGGTAAGATAACATATATAGGAACTTTAAATGTGTTATACATGTGTGTATTTAATGTATGTATCTGTATATATGTGTTCATGTTTATATATATGCATGCTGTATGTATTTGTGGGTATGCATATGGTGCTGTGGGTTCATACAATGGACAGCAAAGTGGGTTTGAATTGTAAGGTTGGCAGTTGAATTTCACCAGTTGCTCCTCGTAAACCCTATACAGGGTATCTATGGGTCAGAACCAACTCGATGGAGCTTAATAAAAATAACAACATCCACATGCTAGACTGCAAAGTCTAACCATAAGGTCCATGGTTCAAGCTTACCAGCCACTCCTTGGAAACCACTTACAGAATGTGAGTCGGCATTGACTTTAGGGCACTTAACAACAACAAATATTTGGAAGTAAGTCACCGTTGATAATCCAATTTAGTCCAAATGGTTGTATAGTGACTACTAGTAAACAGTATGATGTGATGATGTCACAGTGCTTTGTGGCTAGAAGGTCTTGATACTGTACAAAATAGAACCCAAACTAAATTTCTTTGGAATTTCTTTTTCCCTAGAGCACAGGAGCCAATCATAAGACTGAAATTAGCACTTCACAACTTCTAAAATGCTGCCAAAGACAAAGTTGAGCAAGGAGCTTTCAGCAGGGAGGCAAGACAAGATAACATTTATGTCCCCCTCAAGGCCATACTAAAATCTTGCAATCTTAGAAAAGAGGCTAAAGGTCCTAAGACTTGTGTCATTACTGAACTGAAGGAACTAACTGGTTTCAGCTTAGAATTCTGAAATTGTTGTTTCAGTATTTTGTGATATTTTATTTTCCCTTAATTTAATTAAATCGTGCATGACCTGAGACTTTAATGATTTTATTTTTGAACCATTCAGAAATCAAGGTGTCTATGTTGATTTTTTTTCCCCCTCCAGTTGAAAACAGACTACTTCCATTGTGTGAATGTTGTTGTTAAGTGCCATTGAGTCGATTCTGACCCATAGCAACTCTGTATAGGGTCTCCAAGGAGTGGTTGGTGAGCTTTAACCAATGACTTTCGGTTCAAACCTACTTCATAGTCCAGTACATTGGCCCACAGCACCACACCAGGAGTCCATTGTGTGAACAGAAGTGGATTAACTGTCCGAAAACAACTAAAGCTTTCCTGGCTCAGTAACTTCTCCCACTTGACATCCACATTCAGACATGGAGACCTGGTGGCTTTGTGCTGCCAGGAGTCAGGATGAATATCTACTGTTTACTAACATGAGAAACACTCAGTTTGTTTAGCAAAGTCTTTATCTCAGCTCCAGAAAGAATGCAAAAGGACTAGGGGCATTCCAAACTTCCAGCCTTTGACTCATGCTGATTTTTCAGTGGAGATGAATGAAAGCAATAATTCTTTCTTGCTGCAGGAGAAACTGTCGGGGGAAGAGAGAAAACACAAGGAAGCTTTGGAAGATCTTCACATGATGGTAGATGAGGATTTCAGGAGTGGAAGCAGCAGTACAGAGGAGGGAAAAGAAAAGACCAAATTGCTGTTAGAACGATTGAAAGCTCTGGAGGTAAGATATAAAACAACATTGTTCTACTTTTGTTGGCACTGATTTGGAGCCTCAATTTTCCTTTCTCAGTTCCCCAGGACTAATCTAGCATTTTCCATCATGAATCACTCATCAACGTTGAGCAAAAAGTTGAAATTTGTAGCATGTGAAAAGGTCTCAATCACTGACTATGGTTATATTGCCTTCAAGAGAGAACACAGGGCAAAAGTTCACTTTAAATTCAGATCAGCCCTTGAACTGGAACAATTCCCAAAACTGTACGCTCCCTGAAGGAAGGGCCTATGTATTGTACTTTGTTTTCACGCCTTGTACTTCTTTGTTAATATAAGGAGTGAAAAGATGAATGAATGGATAAAATAAGCAAGTGTATATAAGTATGTTCATAGTGATTTTAGACAGTAGAATCATTTCTTAAAATAATCTTTTGCAGAATTTCAACATGTATAATGTATAAAAGAAAGTTGAAGCTGGGCTAAGTGGTTTCTAGAAATTTTGAACACTAATCAGTTGCCATTGATTAATTCTGACCCAACGGTAATAGAATTGGTCTTCATAGGGTTTTCAGTAGTTGATTTATTTATTTTTTCAGCAGTAGATATTCAGGCTCTTCTTCCGAGGCAACACTGGATAGATTTGAACCTCTGATGTCTTGGTTGGTAGCCAACTGCTTTACCAGTTTGCACCCCTGAGGGATTCCTCTGGAACACCACAAACTTCCAAAACTCAGTTTTGAAAACCACTGGTCTGTTACTTTGTGGCATTTGACATCACTTCCAAGGTTAATTATCAATGTTTCTGGCAGCAATCAAAGACTATTCTAGTTAGTAGTTTTGACTGAAATTTCACATGCTGAAAGATTGTGAAAATACTGTTTTCTGTGAGTTAGCACATATCCTTTCCATTTATTCCGTAATTACACAGAACTGGAATATAATGACTTTTGAACAAGGACTTGTTAAGTGCCATCCATCGAGTCAGTACTGACTCATAGCGAACCTGTGCACAACAGAACGAGACACTGCCTGGTCCTGGGCCAACCTTACAACTTGCCAAGCTTGAGCCCACTGATGCTGTCACTTTGCCAATCCATCTCTCTGGGGCTCTTCCTCTTTCTCTGTGACTCTCTACCTTACTAAATATGATATCCTTCTCCAGCAACTCTTCCCTCCTGACACTATGTCAAAAGTATGAGAGACAAAGTTTGGCCATCTTGTCTTCTAAGGAGCACTCTGGCTGCACTTCTAACTCGGATCTCTTGGTTCTTTTGGCAGCCCATGGAGCTTTCAGTATTCTCCTCTAACGCCATAACTCAAAAGTATCAATTCTATGATCTTCCTTATTCACTGTCCAGCTTTCACATGCATGTGAGGTTATTGAAAATACCATGGCTTGGGTCAGGCGCACCTTAGTTCTCAAGCTGACATCTTTCTTCTTCAACACTTTAAAAAGGTCTTGTGCAGCAGATTTACCAAATGCAATACGTCATTTGATTTCTTGACTGCTGCTTCCATGAGTGTTGATAGTTGATCCAAGAAGAATGAAGTCCTTGACAACTTCATTCTTTTCTCTGCTGATAAGAATGTTGTTTATTGGTCCAGTGGTGAGGATTTTTGTTTTCTTTACATGGAGATGCAATCCATACTGAAGGTTGTGGCCTTTGATCTTTATCAGTAAATATTTTAAGTTCTCTTCATTTTCAGCAAGCAAGGTTGTATCATCTGCATATCACAGGTGGTTAATGAGTCTTCCTCCAATTCTCATGCCATGCTTTTCTTCAGAGAACTCAGCTTCTCGGATTATTTGCTCAGCATACAGGTTGAATAACTGGTGAAAGAATACAGCCCTGTTGCATACCTTTCTTAATTTTAAGCCATTCAATGTTACCATGTTTTGTTCAAACAACTGCCTCTTGGTCCATGTACAGATTCCTCATGAGCACAATTAAGTGTTCCAGAATACTCATACTTCACAATGTTGTCCATAGCTTGTTATGATCCACATAATCAAAAGCCTAACTATTCTTTATAAACCAGGAACAAAAGAACTTTTACACAGCAACTAAAAACATAGACCTGTCATCAGATCTGGAGTTCTGGTGTGTTACTGTGGAATAAGTATTGGACTGTTAACCACAAAATCATACGTTTAAATCCACCAAGTGCTTCTCAGAAACCCTATACAGAGCCACTGTGAGTCAGAACCTACTCAGTTGTACTTAGTACCACCATTCTAGTCTACTGAATCCTAAAACCTTCAGTAATGGGAAGAAACAAGACGTCTCCCTTTTGGTTTCTAACACGATTCTAAAATCTTCCTCTCAACCCCCCACCACTGTTTATAGTGTGACCTTTGTACTTTCAGTTCCTCTGTAGTAGCAAAGCAAAACTGATCATGGACTTTGGAGCCAGATTGCTTGGATTGGGCTCCAATTATTTTAGCAGCAGAATGTGTTACACGTTGGACTACTAATCAGATGGTCAGCCACTCCTTGGCAAAAAGTGAGGATTCTGCTTCCATAAAGATTTACAGCCTTGGAAACCCTATTCAGGGTGGCTATGAGTCGGAACCAACTCGATGGTACACAGTAGCAGACTTCAAAATCTTGAAAGTTACTGGGTGAGTTACTAGGTTCTCTGTCCGTCTGTTTCCTCATTTGCAAAATGGGGATGATAATAGTAACTTAATGGGGTGCCAGGAGTCTGAGGGCTGACTGCAGGGCATGAGGCAGCTGCCACCACCACTTTCTATGGGAGTAATTTGAACTAAATTTGGTAATGTTTATATAGCATGCCTGCCATGTAGTGGTTGTGGTTATGTGCTGTGGAGGTGGTTCCGACTCATAACGACCCCTATACCCTTGTTTCCAAGGTTATAAATCTTAATAGAAGCAGAAAGCCGTATCTTTCTCACATGGACCAGCTGGAAGTTTTGAACTGCTGACCTTGAGGTTAGTAGCCTGACTCCTAACCACTACGCTACCAGAGCTCCTTTGCCTGTCATGTAGTCTCGTGTATTCAGAACTCCTTCTATTTTTTTTTTTTTTCCCCATGTTTATCAGGAATTAGTAGTTAATACAAGAGCTATCATTGAACAAAATCAACTACTCCAATCAGGAGCTACAGAAAGCAGGCAGGTTAATAAAGTACTGTCACACGTGGGCCTGAAGAGTGGCCAACTAAGGAAGCCTCTGGCAGCTGCTCTTGTGCAGGGACCAGGAATTGCCCTGTTTCCCAAACAGTCTCGTTTTTTACAAAATATTCTCATTGTTACATCTCCTCCAGGCATAGCTTTGTCTTTTGGTTGAATTAAGTTTGTTTTCATCATCAGTGATAAGAATGAGTTCTTACAATTTCTTTCTTCCCAGAAATCAAGGACTTATATTCTAAGTTTTTACTTAAGGTTAGCTTGGATATTTTTCTTACCTCATTGAATTGTGCCTAAGAAAACTTTATGGAGGACATTTTATTTAATAAAGCTTGCTGTTGTTAGGTACCACTGAGTCGGTTCCAACTCATAGCATCACTCTGTACACAAGAGAATATCACTGCAGCTCCTGATCCATCCCCATCATCCCTATGTTTCATTATGATAGGAGTCCTGGTGTGGTGCTGTAGGATAAGTGCTGGACCGCAAAGTCAGCAGTTCAAACTCACCAGACCCTCCTTGGAAATCCTACACTTAGAGATACTAGAGATAGTTTAAGATACCACTCACTGCAAAAGAGAAACCATATTAGTCTTTTTGTTTTACATTTTCCCCCCAGAGATCTTTACACAGAAGGCAAGACAATAATTCATACATCCAGTGTTAGTTGAATGTGATAGGGTCTCTTATATTAAGACCCACAATTTTAATGCACAAAACACGTTACTTCTAAATGAGATGTTTGTAGAAATGTGTCACTACTTCTTTCCTGACATTCTGTGCTCAATATTAAGTGTGCTCCTAGGATAAGAACTGGACTGTGAACCACAAAGTTGGCGGTTCTAAACCACCTCCATAGAGGCTTTCTGCTCCCACAAACATTGAAAAATCTTGGAAACTGTGTAGAGAATTGTTATGAGTCAGAAGAGACTCAATGGTACTTAACAACAATCCTTATTCTGCAGGAGCCTTGGTGTTGCTCTAAGATAAGCACTGGACTGTTTGCCTACAAGGTTGGCAGCCCAAATTCACTCTGTTGAAGAAAACTGAGGCTGTCTCTGCACCAGTGAAAATTTACAGCTTGAGAAACCCTGTTCAGGGTTGTTAATGAGTCAGAATTGACAGGTTGGCAGTGAGATTTTTTTGATTTTTATTCTCATCCTCAGTGAGGAAATGGTAGAACTCTCACCTTCCATGTAGGAAATTTATATTCCCAGTCAATGGACCCCAGCTACAGCCACTGTCTGCCTGTCAATAGAGACTTGTGTGTTATTTTGAT